CAGTTCGCCTGAACAACACAGCGAAGCAGCCACTGGACGTGCACTTTAATCTCGTTATTTTTTTTTTCAACTGTGAAATTGTCATCATCTGATTTGTTATTGTTCTGAAAATTTTTGCTAATAAAAGTAAAAAGCAAAAATTCGTACAGTGTTCAGCTTTTTGCTACATTTAGCCAGCTTCAAGCTTTACTGATTGCTTTTCCACTGATTGGGATTCCTGGAACTGTGAATCCTTTTCCCGAATTGTCTTTGGGGTTCTGGGTGTAATATCATGATTTTCCAGTATTTTGGGTTTGAATATTTCAAAAAAATTGTACGCAATAGTGAGCAAACGGCTGAACTCAAGCAATGGATACACAGAAGCCGGTAAGGGTTTTTTTTTTTATAAAATTTGGTGGGGCTCATGATGTACTTGATTTTACCGCAGAATTCCAAACCTTGTTTTCCTGATCTCAGCAGAAGTAGGGAGTGTTTTTGCTTATTTATTTATTAGTCTGGAATGAGACGATGATTACTGTGATTGCTTGGGAAGATAAACCCAGAAATCTGGGGAAGACCTACGGCAAGAACTCTTCAGAACTGTATTCCTCCAGTAATTACCTGCCATTTTTGTGGAAACAGTAAGCCGGTTGTAGCATCCAGGTTGAGTAAATTAGAAAAAGAAGAACGGGTGAAATAAGTGATAGGTGAGATACATACGCGTGCTGGTAAAGTTTTTAGAAACCATAATCGTATGTTCCTTTTTTTATGAATATTTCATGACTGTTTTTGTCCTAGTATCCGAAAATTTTGGATTTTTTTACAGAGAAAAAAGTCGGCGCTGTGTAATTTTGCCCCAAATTGTATTTTATTTTTATGAAATTTCAGTTTGAATTTATAAAATGTGAAGGTAATTCAGTACAGCTCAGGCTTAAAAGGCCTTGTATGGTTGGTTTGGACGCTTAAAGTAGCACCCAGTAATCTTAGTAACATGGGATATCCAAATCTGTTATCCAGATCGGCCTACTGTTCTTGGTATAGATAAACCAGATATATGTTAGTATAGAAAATTTTTTTACCGTTATCTAGCATCATCATTGTCTCACATCGCTTTTTTTCAGGTTTTTTTTTTTAATTTTTAGGAATCGAGCGGTTTTGAAGGAAAAGGCCGAGGTATTGAAATAAAGGCTTTTCATTGTCCTCGACGGCTAAGATTAGGTTTGTTAAAGAAATGTATTTTAGAAACTTATAAGGCATTTTTAAAACAACTTGCTGTTACTCTATAATTTTTGTACCGTTATGATAAAGCGCACTACAGTGCTGTCAAGTCTTGTTTAAATCTATTCACAGTGAAGTATAAAATGGAGCTGCATGGATGCGAAGTTGTACTGCTGATTTCCACTTTTATTAGCACTTATCATTCTGTCTGTGTTTACAGCTAAGGGATGAAACATAGAGTATTTTACCCGCCACATGTTGTAGCTTCATCTCTGCTGATCTTGTGTTCCAGATTTGGGTGAACTGATTCCGGATCGGGATTTGAAGACATGCTCTCTAACTGTTATAATTTGTGCGATGCAAACTGAAAACGATATGGGTTTGTGGAATGAAGAGATGGAGCAAGAAAGGAATATGCTTACCGAAAAAGTACCGCTTTTTTACCATAACACAGTGCAACTTTGTAAATCAGTGAAGCTTGTACAGTAAAGCACTGATGGAACCAATAATACAACTTACTGAAAAGCATAAAAATACAAGGAGAGCAGATGCATAACGAAACAATATGATATAGATTCAGAAAGCGTGCGAAAATTCAAAACAAAGACAACCCAGGTTACGACACACCTGGTTAGCCTGTGCAATCATGCGTTTTTGCGCGAAGCTTGCAGATCGCTAACAACAGCAATAGTTCATGCGCTGTACTTTAACACTTAGACTCATTTTGTCCATTCCCGCCATGCAAGGGGAAAGGGCGTTGGATGGGATGAAGGTGTTGCATTATGGGGCAGCATGAATCTCTGGCGTGCACAATTGTCAGTTTTTTGCGTGAAGCTCGGTCGTGTTTTTTTTTTTTCAGTTCATTGAAATGGCACGCATTATTTGTGAAGGATTACAAGAGCGCCAGCACTGGGCTGAATTCATTGATCCTGCATCCGGCAGACCTGTACGTTTCTTTGATATTATTTCTGTCGGTGCTCCTGACTGAGGTTTCTTCAGTATGTGCGACAATACGCTTTCACGGAAAACAACGTAAAAATGTTAAAATGCACTTGATTTTAGTACCTTGGAAGCTATACCAATGCGACGCTTTTTGAAACGAACGATAACTTCAAAGCATTCGGACTGATTATCAAGGAGCTTGGCTGTTGCAAGGTAAATGTATTAGTGATGAAAATACTGGCAGCAACAAAACATATGCATTTTTTTGCATATATGCAAATGCAACCCAGGCTGAAACGCACCAGGCTTGCCGGGTACGATCATGCGTTTTTGCACTAAACTTGCAAGTCGCTTTTATGCGTTTTTGCATATATGCAAATGCAACCCAGGCTAGAACACACCAGGCTTGCTCGTTTTGTTTATTCCTCTTTTTTTGCTTGTTGCTGCGCACTATTAAATGTTGAATGTGTTTAGGTTGTTGAGCACACTAACTGGGGAAGACATGTATTTATTGGTACAATAATAACAGATGCGCCGGCGGAATCTGCCGAAGTCAGAGCACTGACGTGCAGTAGTGTTCTCAGCTGATCTGGAATATTTCTTTTTTTTTTACTCTCGTCGAATTTTTACTTCACCTCAGGAACTGTTTTAGTGCTTTTTCAATGATTTTTCGGATTTTTTGAATTTTTCTGAATTTTTAGTTTTTAAATTTTGAATAATTTTTTTGTAAATTTTCACACAGAATTCCTGTAATGAGAATATGCATTTGAAAGCATGTCTTTTGTTCCTAGATGTTGAACGGAATTTGGTCGTTTTTTGTATACATGGATCTCTTTGACCATCGCAGACGTGCCATTGACATTGCCTGTTGCTACCGATTTGGAGGTTGTGATACTTGTGCCTTATTGTCGTTCACTTGGTTTCTTAATATATCGGCTTACAAGTTTTTTTTTTTTCTTTTTTTGGTTTTTTGTGTGTTTTTTTGGATAAAATTTACGTCTTCGATGTGCTTTTTGAATATAATTTGTTTAATATTTCATGTTTTTTCTAATATTTTTGATTCCATGAAAATGAATAGTTTCTTATGTATTTTATCATTCCTTGGGCGACAAAATTTTTAATTTAAAACTTTTATAAAATAGCTTTGCAACAAATTCAGTAATTTGTTAATTTGCGATAATTGACGGCTTTCTCGCGTTGAGTTTCTCAAATTGGATATTTTTATAACGTGATGATCGATAACTGTGAAAGTATTTTTTTGATTATAAAATCTCTTTTTGTAAGAAAATAAAATATGTAAATGTAATGTTTAGTATTTACTTCCTCTTGTATATACACTGGGATATCTAAAATACGTGGTCCTATTCTTTAATTGTGCAGCTAGCAACTTCTCCAAGTGATTTGAGCAATGACGCATCTCGTTGACTTAGCCAGCTGGGGGTACTGATTTTCGGTTCGTTTGCTGTAGGAACTTCTGGTTTTCCTTACAGAAGCGCTTTGACTAAGTCTTAGCCATTTCGCTGTATCTTCGATGTATGTTAAGCAAAACCATCTTGTTCTGAACGTTGTAAGTTCTGGGCGAGGATGAGGTATTTTAGCGATTGCCTTCAATCGGATAGTGAAAATCACAAATTCTTTATTGCTTGCTATCTGCGAGAAGCGAAGGCACTTAAAAAGTACCTAAAGTAGTAGCAAATGCCAATATAAATCAGCACAAGCAAGGTTACCGATGGATCTCTCTTTTGGAAGTTATTTAGAAGCAATCTGATGATAGGTTTGATTCCCCCAATACCAATTCACCATCGAAGCGAATGAAAGGATCGTAGGGTTTGCGCTTTTTATAAGCCGCGAGTATACTATTTTATAACTTTGACGGTTCCTTTTTCTATTGTTTGCAATTAATATCGAATGTCAAAAACACGAAAAGATAAAGAAAATAAGAAAACTTGTGAATACGAAGAAGTATGATGTTTTGTGGTAATATCTGGGAACTCTCAGAGTAAAAGGAAGTAGGGAACTAGAAGACAGTGGCAAAAAATGAAACATTTTTGGAGGTGGCGAATACAATTTTGCCTAGGTTGATTCAAAATGTATGTTTCGGGCGTTGTGCTTTATGATAATATCAGGGTAACCTCAGAGTTTAACTGGTGAGTCTGGGGCGCGAAAATGATGAGATTGGGAGATCGAGAGCTGGACGAACGACTCGTTACAATCATTTATTCCATGGTTATTTTCAACGGGATACCACTTCTGCTGTTCATTTTATACATTATCTTGTCAAGCACAGTCATTTTCGCCAGCGCCCTACTTGTACAATGTAAATTTTCGTTTCAGGATTCTCTTTTTGTTCTTACTTTAATATATCTGGTAAGGTTGTTTGAAAATTACATGTTTGAAAGGACCAAGTAAATTTTCAGCCTCTGTTTCATCCCTTAGCTGTAAATACAGATAGAGCATCGGATGATACTGGGATCGGGAATCGTCAGTACAGCAGCCTATTTGGCATGTAGGAAAGAAGCAGATTTAAGTAAGCAAAACATAATATATAATGATATATTGACGTGTTGATAGTTTGATTACTTGCATTTTCTACGATGATTCTCCAAGTACGCAACGAGCGCTTTTCCAATTCCTCTGATCATGCTGCATCTCCTGTGCTAAATCTAACGTTCATTTCGTCTCTCGAAGGGATTGCCAACTTAGCGACAAATTAGCCGTTTCAAGATTTTGGCCGTTTCGAGATGTCCTTGGCGTGAGCATCACTATCGCAGGTTTTGCGACTCCTACACACCAGTTTTAAATACCATAGCGACTATGAGGAAAGTGGGATTAGTTGTTGAGATTTTTAACGGGAAAGTAAGAAAATGTTAGGGATAGAGGTTGTAGGATTAATATTTGTGATATTATGCGTAGGTAAATTAACGAATGGAGTAGGAATTGTACTAATTTTTTTTGAATCATTTTCATATCATCTTTTATTTTTGGCTTTTGCTTTCAGTGGTTACATTTTTGTTTGGATTAGCCATATTTGCACCAGTTGCTCTGTTCACTTCAATGGGCGCTCTTACAGCGAGCTTTACTATAATTGGCGTGAAGCGATTCCTCCTGAATGGTTCGAATTTACCTGCGCATTCTAAGCAGTACCAGCAGCAACAGCTAAAAGTTGATTAGCATTCGTGCTAAAATTTGGAATTCTGTATTTGTTGCAACTTCCGTGTTTTTTCTTGTTTGCTGTAATAATTGTTCGGTAAGTTTACTGAGTGGTCACCACCGTTGTTGCTGTATCAAAATCCCATTTATGGGAAGGGGAAAAAACTTGAAAAACCGGATCAAAAAATGCAGGATGTGGGCGAGCGAGTGTGAAATTTTTAGCTAATGCAATCCAAAATATGCCAAAAATGCATCAGAATAAATTCGGCTCTGCTAAATTGGATAAAAATCGAAAGAAAAAGTTACGGAAAGCAAATACATTTTTGAAACTTTAAAAGTATTACGTTTGAGCAAACCGTTTTTGAAACTATAAAGGAGGTACCTCCCTCGAAACTATGAAGGGGTGGTAGTTTTCGGAGGGATACCAAAATGGACTTTTTCGAGACTTTTCGAAGTTAGGCATACCAGTTTCAGTAATTTGTCAAAAATCAAAATCCTATTTGTATTCAGCCTCACTCAGAGGCGGAAGTATTCGGAGGTGGCTCGTGAAAAGCAAGTGCCAAATGTTATTGTACCATTTGTACATTACAAGCATGTCTTGTAGTTCCAAATAAATAAAAATTTGGCTATCCACTTGTTTCATCTAAAGATTTGCATTTACTAGATCTCCTCACATGGTACTAACATCGCGCTGGTCTTCTATACCCTTTTTGATTTACAGTTTCTACGAAAAAACGAAGAGCGGACAGGGCCAAAAAGTTCCAAAAGTTATCTATCGACTGCTAAAAATGACGCGCCCTTGCTTGTTGAAGCATGTGTTCTTACGAAATAGTTTATGTGGAACAATTTTTTGATTTATCACAGATTTATCAGCAAAGTACCATATTCATAACTG